AGAGGACGCACACCAGCAGGAGTGATGTGGCGTAACGACGCCCCTAGGTGCCCCTCCCAACTACTTTGCTCACCTCTTTTCTCCCGCCTGCTCTCTCCCTCTTATGTCTTCCTAAACTGGCGACATTCGCCGATCTGCAGCCACCGTCGCAGTCACAACCAAGTCCGTGTGCCGTGGTGATGTGTACTTCCAAGTCATAATTTGTCTTTCCTCTCCCTAATGCCGAGAAGATAGGCCATTTTCACAAATTTCATCAGCAACAGCCACTACCATGGTTGGTCGACTATCTTACCCAGTTCTTCTTTGGCTCCTTTAGCACTGGTCGATGACAACACCATCATGGGTGCTTTCGCGGAGAGAAGTCGGCAAGAGTTCCCTGAAATTGACGTGTCACCTGAGATGTTACCTGTTCATGAGTATGAGCCTAAATACTGTGACCTGGAATCGCCGTTAGTCAACTAGTCTACAAACAACATCAAAAGATTCTCTTCTGTAATAAATGAAACTCACAACACAATGACTACCGCCTTTTGGACAAGTATATTGAGCCCTTCGTACAGCTAAATAGCAAACCTATGTTAACAGCAGTCTCCAGTTTGTCGCCTGTAAGTACCCAGACACGAATTCCAGCAGTAACAAGTCGTCCCAAGGTCTCCGGTACGTGCTTTTGAAGGCGATCCTCGATCGCAGACACTCCAAGTAGTACAAGTTCCTTAACAAGTAATGCTATGAACGGTGTCATCGGCAACAGTTCGAAAATAGGTGAGCCGCCGTGTCCGGCCGAAAAAGCATCAATGGATAGCGCTTCACGCCAGATAGTGAAGTATTGAGAAAAAATACGATGAGAAACAGCGCTGAAGGAGTAGGGAGGGGCGCCTCCAACGAGGCTTAGCCACTTGTCATCTGACAAGGCCACGTAGTGTTCTGCAAAGGCTGACATGTGCTGACGTTGGCTATGCCAAGTTATAACACGTCAACTTGTCTCGGTGAGAGCGTGTAACGAGTTACACATGACGTGGCTTGGTGCTACCAGAGCGATTCTTCCTGAAGCTTTGCAGCGAAAATTCTCTACTGGGTTCTCCTTTCGTAGTGCCTAACATCTCGCCACCCCCACATCATGCTTACTGAACTTCCAACTCTGCAGCTTACACCATAATTCCGAAATAACTGATTCAACTCGCAAATGAAGCCATACTTTAGCCAAGCCTTACATTGCGATTCCTCTTATGGCACGGTTTTCTCTCCACGGTAGTAAAACAAGAGGAACGCACAAATGAGGAAGGTGCAGTAGTAGATCAGGCTCCGCCAATATGACCATCACCAACTGTACCTTTAACCAGCACGAAGGACGAAAGTTCAGCCTTCTCACGTCTGTTGGCCTCTACAGCACTAGACTGCAGAACTATTTCTGAATAGAACGACGAACCCTTTCAATGTCCTCTGCGAGTTGTGCGAGACGTTCTTTTCGTTTTGGTGGTCTCACTAAAAGTTTTGTTATATTCCTTGTACCAAGCGTTAAATGTGGCCGCATCAATAGTCCTCATAGCAAAACACAGCGTCCGATGACCTAAACATTTAGTCCATCTGAAAACCGTGGATTGATTCAGCCGCTTCTTCCTCACCTCCGATTGCGAACTGCTGTAAATGACCAGCTGTACGTTTCAGTTCCTTATGTGAAACGCTTTTGAGTCGCTCGAAAATCCTTTGGTCCTTCAAAGCGTTCTTCTCAAAAAATTTTAATGTTTTCTAACCGAATGTGAACGAGTGCTCACCGCTCCTTTGATGTAAAGTTTATATTTGCCATTGGGTTCCTTTACTATCACTGACATTCGTTTCCGTTCCGAGTCAAACTCGAGAATCGCCACCAAATCGTATTCAGTTGGGTTTCCCAACTAGAACGGATACAGTTTCTCACAGGAGTACACACATAAGTCTGTGAGACTCGTCCTACCACATTAATGAAGCATTTTCCAGGGGCCCGTTTTCTAAAGACAAAGCCAGCATCAGCTGCGAAGTTTAGAAGAGCATGTTCATCTGAAAATCCAGCGAACATTTCTTTATAGTCGAACTGTGTTTTCTTCACTCATTTTCTTCATTGACAAAAGAGGCTTCAGCTGTTGATGAAGAACGGGTTGGTTCCGCGCCGAACTCAGTCGAAAAGGACTATACATTAATCTTTTCGAGATATCTGATAATGAACCTCACCAGGGGAAGTGGCATGGTACAAAGGCCGATCGGCATCGCATGTGTTCTTGTCAGGAGATGCTGTGTGGCAAATAGCGCACGCCAAAAGGAATTCACGAATTTGATGCGCATTATTCTAAAACAGATACGATCACCAATGTAAAACATACTCTGATCAACTGGCTAGTTACCAGTCCGCCTTAGGCAGCAGTTAGAGCTCGCGATGATGGCGTCGACTCGCGTCATCGTGAGGTCTGTACACTGCCCTAATGGATTTCCCTTCTCTCTGTGACTCACCAATACCACCCGACCATTTTAAAAACTAACCATTTGATTACTAGCAATGTGAGCGAGAAGTTTCTTTGGTGAAAATGTTCTGTCCCTCCTTGATTTTCGATTCGCATACTTTACGCCGCCTACTGAACACATACGAAATCGCATACAGTTCTGTGTCAATGTGCCCGTTTTGTCCGACATCACGTATTTAACCTGAAATTGAGTCATTCTACCTTTACAATAGCCGATATTCCTTCTTCGGGTTAGTGGTGGAGATGGTTTTAAGGCAAATGGCGCTGCTCAGCATAGCCCTACAAGTTCCATCCGTCACCACTCACACCATAGGGGTGATTAAGGAGCCTTATTTACGAGTAGCGGGTGAGTTCGGCAAAATAGGCGCTGCGAGCGGGGTGCGTGCGAAGGATTCACACTGGGACCTAATCCACTTAACGTAGCAATGCTGCGGCGTGTCGACTCTCCTAGCTCTCTTCGTGTCAGCGCTTTTCAAGCGACCAGCTCTCTCTGTCTGTGGCCGCCTGGTCAACTAGGTAGGAAATGCCCTGCTAATGCGCACGGTGCCGCGGCCCTGGAAGTAATGCTCCACACCACATAGGATTGAACTATACTCACATCACCAAGTTCCGAATTCAAAGAGAACATTTTTACATCGGGACCACGCCCATGTTCGTCGACCATCAACTCGTCCTAAAAAAAAACCCCAAACATCCGTCGTAGACTTTATTCGTACAGGACATACATTGTGTATAAATGTCCGGCTTGTTAATTTGAACCAGTTCTAGGGTGACGTACAAAGAAATAGGTATAAAGCCGCTAAATAGCACCAGATGTTGTAGAAAGATAGACATGAGAGAATCTGAAATGTTTCGACCTTTTCGCGAACCAAGTGCTCGTTTTAGGGAAGCATTTCGTCAAACGTCCTCTTCAACTAGGCAGACTCATCCGACAAAGACTGAAAAATCCAAGCAACGGGCGTAGTAAGCGCCATGTTGGCCGATGTAGGTACATCCATAAGGTTCATCCTTCCCCTGGAACAGCTTGATTATAGGCTGCGATCACACTTTGCGGCAGCGCCCACCAGCGACCACCATCGTCCACCAGCGGAAAGAGACGTTTTGAGCGCTTGTCAGCGTCAGCGACTAGGGAAGTACAGGATCGATCTAGCGTCTACCAGCGTCCATCAGCGATCAGCAGCGTCTGAGGGACAATGGATGTATGGATATCGATCTAGCGTCTACCAGTGTCCACCAGTGACCACTAGCGTTCCGGTAGGCGACTAGAAAATATAGTTATGCCGATGCAGCGCTCTGCTAGTGAGCCAGCAGCGCCTCTAGGCTAAGGATATCCGCGTACCGTCAGCTACCACCAGCGATAGGGAGAAGAGGGTACGGGAAAGTAGGGAGGTAGCAAAGAGAATTAGGCGCCGTGAAATTGCGGTGTGTGTAACCACACGCGTGTGTGCTGCAACTGCCTACCTTGTGCGGCAACAGGATTTGCATAATTGCTTGAGCTGTTTTGTCGCGGTGCAGTCGCACCTGCTGTTAACGACGGGCCTGATTACCACTGCTGGTCGCTGGTAAACGCTGGTGGACGCTCGTAGACGCTGACAGACGCTATTCGATATATACTTCTCCCTAGAGACGCTTCTGATCGCTGGTGGACGCTGGCAGACGCTAGATCGGCATCTATAGTTTCCTAGTCGCTGACGCTGCCGGTCGCTCGCAACGCTAGTGGTCGCTGGTGGACCCTAGCAAACGCTGGTGGACGCTGTCGGAAAGTATGAACGTAGCCTCAATCGCATGGAGTTGATTCTTTCCTGTGTACTGTTAATTTAGCCTTAGAAAATCACTAGTCCAGAACGCAGAAAGGACTACAACCTCACCATCAAAATGGTTGGTGAATTGTGAGACGAGGAAAGGGAGCGGTTGATAGAGGCGGCCCATGAGTGCGTGTACCAAACAAAGCAGCAGCACAATTCCAAACTGAGTGATCATCACATAGTTCAGAAGACTTGCAAGTTGTGAACTGCAAATAAACATATCCTAGCGCTAGAGCGTCAGATTGAAAGGAAGGCACCCATTAACCTTTTCTTGGTCCTTCTGATACCGCTTTTGAAGAGCTTAGTATGTCGCCCAGTGTAGAGCACTATACCGTAGATGTTGTCTGTATTTCTTCAGTCGGGCTCCTCTCAGAATGACATGAGCATTCGCTGAATTGATCACTACCTGTACATTTGAAATGGAGGATCGCACTTACGTGAGTGCACAGTCCACGCTCATCGCGTGGGCGGAGACATTGTGCTTTTATGATTTTCGTGCCCGAGCCTTTCAGGGGCACTCGGAAAGCACAAGCGGTGACTGTCTACGTCCTCTTGATAAGCGCGAACTGTGAATTTAACTACCACTAAGTAACGAACTTACTTAGCGGAATCGTAAACGTTCTATTCGACGAGTTAGACTGTGCCATGTCTGCTTGAAGACAAACTATTATTATTTTTGATACTATTGATGACATCAGTAATACTTCAATTATACATGTTACAAAATTGGGCGCTGTTCGGTTTGGGAGGGGCAGCTCGATCTGCGGGCCAAAGCGTTCCAAAAAAATGCAAATGCACTGCACTTTCGTTGCTTCACTAGTTCTGGTTTACAAGTCTCACTCTGGTGAAACCTGTGAACTCTTGTGAAGCTGGAGCAAGCTCGTCAAGCCACCATGTAAAACCTGTCAACTCTTGTAAGCTCATGAAATAGCTCTCTAGATAGTTC